TTTTTTGGTGTGACAATGCTCATTTGATAAAATGAATTGGCACAGGTACCTCAGTGTGTGTGTGTGGTTTTTAACATTTTGTATTTAGTTTTGTATTTTCAAATACTTGGGGACCCCAATGCCGAGTTGTATAAAAGGTGCAGTTACTCTTTGTGCCTGACCTATATCTGGAAACAATAGTGTGTTTTCAGCTTATTGTCGCTATCACCGGTGAGCTCTTTTTTTATTTTTCCTCCTGGGTTTTATGGAGGTCTTCACCTCCCAAACAGTTGGGGGACCTTTCTCAACCTTTAAAATCTACATGAATACATTCTTGACATGTCACAATATACAGCCGTGGTGTCATCCTGCAGAAAAGCTCCACATTGTATCATTAAAAAAAGTCTTTGAACTGCAGTCCAGTGACTTTGCCTAGGCTCAGAAGATGTCATCAGCCTGCTGCAGACAGGAAATAACATTTCCTCAGTCTCCTCTTCCCCAGGGGTCATACTGCTACATGATTGTGTCATCATCTTCTTTTCTCACCAGAAGGATGATGTTCTGATCTGAAGGCATTGTCAGGGGGAGTACTGTGACCTTTTATGTAAAGTTATGAATACCTGTAAGGGTTACACATACACAATACTTGCTATGCATGGACTTGCATAAACAAATCTAATGCTAGGTCCAGTTTAATGATCCAAAGCAGGGCTGAGCATTTCTACACCTCAATTCCAATTTGGAAGACTTTCATCAATGATGGTTGAATCCTGCAATCCTAAATGGAAATCCCTCGACTTGAAAACAAAATGGCTATTATTAACACCAATAGCAATCCTCAGTAACCTATAACAACCAATCGGCAGTCATGTTATAAATGACACAAACTGACAAAGTTGCAATAAGCACACAATCATGCTTTACTGCAGCGCTGCAAAAAAAGATGAACACCGCTAATGAGATTTCAGATTTGTGCTAGTCCTATTGTTACAAACCGAGTGCACTGGAGAAAACTGTACACAACCCTGACTGAGCTCACCAATGGGACGGGAGGTATTCACCAGTGTCTACCCCATAGGGGTATGGGCTCAGCTGCATCGCTTCCCCATCTATTAACAGGAAGATGCAAAGGACCTTTGGCAAGATGGTCAAGCTACTGGTAAGGCTTCAGGAGAGCTGGGGTGCTGACTCGCAAACGGGTAGGAGCATCACAGGCAGCTGGAGACCCATATGAGAGCACAGGTAGTGGGGGTCACAGAAGGCACAGGGAACAATGCAAAAGTCAGGACTGCAGGGGACATGGGAGGACTTTTAGGGATGCACAAGGATCACTAGGAATAGCTGTGGACAATTGTTGCATAGGGTTTCTATCCACACCGGTCCTTTGAGGATTTGGCTGGGGGGGAGGGGGAGGGGGCGTAGTTACATCTGATTGGCCACGGGGCGACCCCTAGGGTGCAAAATCAAAGAGCGGCAGCACTGCAGAGGTAAGTAAATGCTACACCTATAAGTTTACTGGGTTGCATTTGAATGCACTTTGCACATCTCCATTGCGCATTGAACTGCCACATTCAGCCAACTCGCTTTACCTTTCAAGCGTTGGCTCTATATAAAAAGCCCCTTTTTCTATTTTTAATCATGAAATCTAAAAAAGATAAAAAAAATTAAAGCCCATTTTCCCAAATTGCCTCTGCGATTACAGCAGAGGCATTGTTGTGTGTATAATACTTCTGTCACGTTTCAGGAAAGTCACACAAGTTAATAGCATTGTAGGTAATTATGCCGTTCATAGTTATAAATGCACTTCAGACCTAATGCTTCCATTTTCCTGTCACTTGCAAATCGCGCAGATAACGTTTTGTTATATCTGTGACTATACAATGTGTTTTTCTCTCTTCGCTCACGCATACAAGACATGTTTTCATTGTCATGCTCTCGGAGCCCTTTTACCAAGGTCTAATTTTAGTTGTTCACAAATGGCGGGTTAGCGTGCTGTGTTCTGTGGCTTCATAGCATCCGTGCTGTTTATGTAATCCTTCCTTTTCTTGCTTTCACGTGTACGGGTTTGCTGTGCAGTCAGATCTTCAGCTCTAGAGAGCAGCTGACATTTTTTTTTTTTTTAACTGTGTAGTCTTCCATCTTTGTTCACCATATAGATATGAGAAGGTGGCCTGTCCCAAGTTCTGACATGCCAAACGGCTTTCCAAAGTACAAGTGGTCTTCAAACATGTGCTTGTTGGTAGGAGGCAGCATGGAGATCTAGTGGCTCCGAGGCCCTGTATTCTGTTTGCAGCAAGTGGACTTTTGCGTGCGGTTTTCATGTCAACCTCGCATTTGCTCCGAGCTTCCTCCTGTGTGCTTCAGTTTCCCCCCACAATGCAGAGACACACTGATTTCTATTGACTTGCTTCCAGCCTGGCCTGTCTGTAAGCATGATATTAAGTTGAATTCTAGCCTTCCCTTCAGTCTTGCAAAGTTGTATTCTGATTTTCCCTGCACCCTGGGAGCTTCTCACAATGTGCATTAGAAGCTGCAGCAAGTCAGATGGCGCCTACCTCTCTTCCCTGATGGGGGATGTCCAGCGTCATCTAGAACCTTCCTCCCCAGCCTGACTGTCACTGGTCCACCTCATTCATTCATTCATTGGCTTTCAGTTTTTTCAATCATGGAGGTTCAGCATCTCATGTGGGTATTACCTAGGGCAGTCTGAATGCAAATACAGCCGGTCTAGGAACACTCACTCCTCCAGACTGAGACCCACCCATCAAATAATTTTGGATATTTGCATAACTTCTCCTAAGAGGCAGTCCACTGCCTTCATCAGGACTGCGGACTCCTGAAAGGAATACTGAGACAGAGTGCTGTGATAGTTTCAGGATGTTATGTACAGCTCCCTGCCGGCCCCTCCAACCAGACATAATCTTCCTGAATTGAATAGAGAAGCACAGAGACCCCCCTCCCATACAGGGATCTGTACAGTAAATAAAACTGGAAAATAGTTTCTAACTCTGTCCCAGCAAGTGCAAAATGAAAAATATAATTTTGGCTGGCGTTGCTGGTTTGCTGCCAGTTCCTCCATAGCAGCTGGGTGAGGGCCCAGAGCAGTGTTTCTGAAAGCTTTGCACGCTGGGTTTAATGCTCTAAGTACTTTGGAATATGTTGCTGCTATGTAATAGAGTTGAGTACTGGAACGTGGCTTGTCCACTACCCCATATGGCCAAAGGTTTGTGGTCACCTGACCATCACCTATATGAGCTTGTTGGACATTTCATTCCAAAACCATGGACAGAATATGGAGCTGGCCTCACTTTCTAGCTAGAACAGCCTCCAGTCTTTTGGGAAGGCTTTTTTTATTTTTATTTTTTACAAGATTTAGGAGTGGTTTTTGAGGGAATTTGTTCCCATTCTGCCAAAAGAGCATTTTTGAGGTTGGATGAGAAGACCTAGCTTCCTGTTGGCCTTCCAATTCATCCAAAAGGTGTTCAGTAGGGTTGAGGTCTGGGTCCTGTGCAGGCCACTTGAGTTCCTAAACCCCTCAAACCATGTCTTTGTGGAGATGGCTTTGTGCATGGTCATGCTGGGACACAGAGGGGCCTTTCCCAAACTGTTACCAGGAGGGTGGAAGCGCACAATTGTCTAAAATATATCCTTACTGGAAATTGAACCCCGTTATTAGGAGGGGTGTTGTTCTTTTGGCCATATACCCAGGTGTGATGTTCAGGCGTCCACAAATGTTTGCCCATATAATGTATGTATATATGTATTTTATTTGTGCTGCAGATTAGTACAAGTAGGCATTGATTTTATAGTATAACAGTAGGATTGAACCATGCTTAGTCAGAGAATTTTGACAGCTGGTGTGTCAGGATAGTGTTTATCTGTGATCTCTCTCTCTCTCCTCCCACCCCCCCCATGTCAGCGTGACATTTCCCCAGTACCCCAAGGTCTAACACAACCTTGTGTTGCTGTACGTTGTGGTTTTTTATTTCTTTAGAAATGCGGTAGTACTACATCATTCTTATTGATATACCTGACCTCCGTTTTGGGTTTCCTTTTCTCTAGGTGGGGTTCGGCGAACTGCCATTTGACAGTACAGATAATTTCTGCAGCTACCCTGACCTCTGTTTCCAGATCCAGGGTTACAACTTCCTGTGCCACAAGGTAAGAGACTTTAAATACATTTTTTTTTTTTTTTTGTTTCTTTTTAAAGGGTAAAAAAAAAAAAATCTTCTTTCTAGACCATTTAAAATGTGTCAGACTAAACGCTACTCAAAGCTAAAGATCAAAGCTACCTTTGTCCCTCTTAGATCTTTATAACATTCATGGTTTTACGTATTCATGCATTTCTTTTTCACATCAGCATTTCCATAGTTTGATAGACTGACGGCAACCCGCAGATGCTGCAGTGCCGTCCGTCCGTTTTTTTACTACGGGCGGACGGCAAGAGGTTAAAGGATAAGTGCACTGACCTAACAGATCCCACCCTCCACAGATTCATACTTGCTGAGTTCTGATGTCTGTCGCCTCCTGTGTTTAAGTCCTGTGCAGAAGTCTCCTTTTCCCTGGCTGAGCCTGCACAGTAAAGCCCCGTAGACTTCTACAGGACTTGTCTACCTGCGTCTCCTATCTGGAAGACATAGGGAAGCAAGCCCCATAGACTTCTATGTTCAGCATTAAAATTCTAGTCTGGCTACAAAGGCTTCAACCACCTGTAGTCACAAATGGGTTAAAAAGCTAGAAGCCCTCCGATGGCGGGGGACGTTATAGACTCTTAGTTGCTGACCAACTGGCCTTTAGAGGTTCTGTGTTCTTTATTTAGCGCGGTAGGCGAAATGTTTAATGTCAACATTTTTTACATTGCAGTCGTTTTTCTGTGGCCGGAGCGATTACTTCAAAGCTTTGCTGCAAGATCACTTCTGTGAGAGCCAGGAGCTGCAGAGCCAGCCCAGCATCCCGGTGATAACCCTGCACAACATCAATGAGGAGACCTTCATGCGGGTCCTGTACTACATCTACAGTGATGACACAGAGGTAATCACCATGCCGCCATCTTGAACTGATTAAATAACACGGCACTTCCAGAATGCCTGTGCTGGGCTAAAAAGCATGAAGGTGTTGCAATGCAATTGCTCAAATTCTGAAGTGCAGACTAGAAGCTGACACCCGAATTCCAGGCAAGAGACAGGTCCCTTCCCTGACCCCGCCCTGGGACGAACGGTGCCTGACAGGGGCAAGGCACTCTTGTCCACCTGGCCGAAACCAGGCGGACGCATTCCTTGATGTCAACTGAAGCCGACCAAGTACAAGTTGAGGGCTCTCCTGAAGAGAGACCTCCGGTTCAGGGGAGCAAGGAGCCTGGGGGCCACACATCCTCCCCCTAGACTTCAGGGTAGGCCCGAAGACCCACACCCTCCATCCTGTGGAGTGGAAAAATAACATGTATAAAAAGTAAAGTGCAGAAAATAAATAAGTGTCAATGTGTGAACAATGACTAGGCTGCAACATTGTTTACACATTGGCACTTATTTATTTTCTCCACTTCACTTAAAAAATAACCCCTGGTTTTGGCCATAAGGCGTAGTCCAAGAGGCAAAGTGCAGAAAAAAGTGGTGCTGTGACCATGTGCCATTCTAATTGGTGGGGTCCCAAACCCATAAGTGATACTATGGCACCACCTGGGTCGCCACCCCAGGAGGAACTGGGCCCTGCCAAATCCCAGCACTAGGGAAGTACTCCCGACCCCCACTCTTACGTGAGTGGATGCTTAAAGGAGAATTATGAGGCGAGTGATTTTCACTCCGCCTCATAATCTGAGCCGATGTGTGACAATGAAACTGTCACAGGTCGCCTCAGTAGATCGGGAAGTGAGAGAACACATACCAGCGCCCGCACACGTCTCGATCTATCCGTGCAGAGAGCCATGACTGTTGCTCAAGGCTCCCTGCAGGGATCCCCCGTTCCCCCCGTCCGATCCTCCAGCGCTGACTGTTGGAACGGATGGAGGACGGGGCGGGTACAGCTGGCTCTGCCTCTAGATAGGCAGAGCCAGCTGTCACTCTCGCAGCCGGGTGGATCCAGACATAATTGTCGGGATCCGTTCCGGCTGTGGAGTCTCAGTATACCGCGAGCTGCAGCTCGCGGTATACTGAGCTTTGGATGACGGGAGGACGCTAGTTTGTGTCCTCCCGTTACCCTTAGGAGAACTATGGGGAAAAGCCCTAACCCCATAGTTCTCCTTTTTAAATTCTGTTTCCTTCCCATGGCCAGGACCATTTAGTAACCCCCATCACTTCAGGCAGAGTACTTACATTCCAGCCATACAAGCCATAAGGCCAGTACAGCGGCTCCTTTCCCCTCCTGAACACTGTTGAGAACAGACACTACACTTGATCTTGGCCAAAAGGCAGAGAAGAGGTTTTTACATTCAGCTAGCATAAGTACCGGAGTCTGTCTTGGCTCCCTCTAATAACCACTGACATAGGGCCATGAGACATGGCAAAATGAGGTGGCTGCTGTGCGGGCCACATTACAAGGTCCGGCGGGCCGGATTCGGCCCGCGGGCCTTGTGTTTGCCACCCCTCCTCTAATCCTATGCACAGGCTTGGAACTCTGTCTTTGCTCAGTGTTTGCCAGTCTTGGCGTGAAAGTGATTACATGAGAGGGGAGCAGAAGAATTCACCATTGTACTGCTGCGCCTTCATTGTCCATTTGCAGGCATGGGGAAGGTCCTGGATAAGGCTATTTTGATAAACATGACTAGTCTGCAGGGTGGTCCAGCACCAAGCTGTCTTGTCTGGCAGGGGTTCCTAAAATAAATGAACTTTGCACGATATTCTAATTCGAGTTTCACCTGTATGTCTACGTGGCTGCAGTAAGTGGTGCTTGAAGCAATGAACACACTGGCCCTCTTATTTTCAAAACTTAGGATTCAGAAAAAAGGACAATGGTGGCTTTAGCTTGATTGGCAGAAGGTCTGGAAGAAGATTAGAGGCTGTGTTCCCAAGGCCTGTTTAACCCATGCATTGCCATGGACGTAGGAGATATGCAGTGGCTGTTTGTCTCTTAGACAGGCACGGAGTTGCCTGGTGACTGTAAAAGGTTATTCTTGTGCCCGTAGTGGAGTTCAGGAGAGTAATTGTTGTCTCCGCAGACATCGCAGAGGATAGTAGACAAACCACTACTGGGTGATCTATTCTTGGGCGCCGCTGAGCTCATTCTGAGCAGGCGGGGAAGACTGTAGACCCCAGCGAGGGAGTAGGGAAGGCATATAAGGGTTTTATCAGCAAAGCAGACCTGTCCACATCTGTGAGGTGGCTGCGTTATATAGCATCAGTGACAGAAATACTAGCGCACTTATTCCTAGTCACTGACTCTGAATTGGAAGCCAGCAGATTGGTATGTAGGCCATTCAATTAGTATTTACTGATTGTCATCAATTGTAGACTCTCTAAAACCCTTCCAACAAAGGTTTCCCTTAAAGCCCAGTTGTACTTTGTTTAAACTGGTGAAATACACTCACTGTAGATCTAAACCATGACCCCTGCCAGCATGCTGCAGAGAAGGACTCTTGCTCTCTGTGGAAGCAGTGGTCCTTTTTGCAGATGCGCTAGAGCTCTCCAATCAGCAGGGAGCATGAGCATTGCCCATTGCAGAACTATAGGTATGACTGGGTAAGGGGCAAGTCAGACCTCTGCAGCGAGACCACTGCTTCCTACAAAAGCCAAGGGTCCCATTTTGCAGCTGCTGGCCGGAGACGGGCTTTTCTACTCTGGCAGTAGGGCTTTTAAAGTGAACCTGCATTTCATTTTCAATGTATGCAACTAAAAGTCCCAAATAAGAGCAAACACCACTAGATGCCTGATGTGGCCTTTTATTTGCCTGAAAAGCCTCTACATGGCCTCTCTGATTTTAGTTCCAGTTTACTGGGGCCTGACTTTACCACTTTATGGCCAAGCCCTGCCATCTAGCTGTCCAGTCAGAGTGCCCTTATTGACCACTGAGGCAATCTTGTTGGACAGGGGTGGCCGTTGTAAAGACTTGGCCATTAGCTCATGGAACGTCGGGCCCTAATGACAGTAAAACTAGACCAGAGACTGGCACAGAAAAGACCCCTTTTGGCTAGGTAATGGCAGACATCTTGTGGTGTCTGTAAAAGAAATACAGGGTCACTTTAACAAGTGAATAATGCCATTAAAAGAAGTTCCCAGCAGGTGGCAACAGAGGGTTGCACATGTGTACCCTTTGGACACATTAAAAGTACATGTAACATTGAATTTTTCATATTTGTTCTCTTTATTTTGTCTGTTACCATTGAAAGCATTTTATCGAAGTGCAAAAAATACCAGAAATCCAGTGAGTGCATAAGTTCTTGGGCGCTCTGCAGTGTTATAAGCCCTGACGAGTAGTGCAGAACACTCTTCCCCCTAGGTTAAGGGGAGGTGTAGATGTTCTGTTGACCTCTCCTAGGCTGACAACCCTGATCTTCCCTCCATAGATGCAGTATAGAAAGTGAGTGTTGTCACCCTAGAACAGGAAGTGTGTTACTGGCAGGATCACCAACTGAAAATAAAGAAGGGAAAAAAACAAAACTAATGCAGCCACCACATCTAAGGACTGATGAGCTGCAACATATGCCATTTTTTTGTTCTCTGTTATAGATGCACCAGACTATAAAAAGCATTTTTTAAAATCATCTTTTCATTTTCAAGTTGCAAAAGGACCCTGGTGATCCTACCAGTCTTTACACTCAAGCCCCTTTTTCCTGCTGTGTTCAGTCAATTTGATGCATGGGTCCTGATATCGATATTGGTGCCAATACCGGGTAATGAGTGCAAAGGGAGCGTGGGGCCAGCTTCCCAGCCAATTAGGAAGCTGGGGGGCGTGTAATAACTTGCTGCCCAGCTTCCTGATTGGTCAGCTTCCCATTCAGTCATTACCCACTCTCCGGCTTCCTCATTGGCCAGAAAGCCGGCTCCATGCTTTCTCGTCACCTGGTGATGATGGAGCCGGCATCCCGGCCAATCAGGAAGCCAGGCGGCATGTAATCACTGGTCGTCCAGCTTCCTGTTTGCTCTGGAAGCTGGGCAGCAAATCATTACCTGTCCCCTGGCTTCCTGATTGGCCAGAAAGCCGGCTCCATGCTCCCTTATCGCTGGGCTAATCGGGAACCTGGGCGACAGGTCATTACATGCTGCCTGGCTTCCTTAATGGAACTTCTGGTATTGGCGAGTAATGAAAAAATATCGGTCCTTTGTACTCGATACAGAAAAACCGGTATCGGTGCATGGCTAGGTCCTGCCTCTTGGTAGTGTTGACAAGCATGCGTAGTTCTGCAAAGGGCAGCAGGACACCATGCAAGAGCATAGTGAGCCGACAGCTTCCTAATCGGTCTGTGATGTCACAGCCTGACCTACCCATTGCCCAGCTCTCACCACTTTGACAGCGGCTCTTGTACCGCAGTGTCTTCAGTTTCTGCCCCCAGCACTCCGCGCTGTTGGGAGAACATGGGCACCGAGCTGCCCTGAGACCACAGATAGAAACCACCAATTAAAGCAGAAGAAAACCTAAATATAAAACTCCTAGAGTTTTTGTTTTTGGCAGAATAGACATGCCAAGTCTCCTCTGCAAGAAGCTTCTGACCTCTAGCAGTTTTCTATTTCATATGTACTACCCCTGGTCCTTCCCAGCATCTGCAATATGTTGGGAATAGAGATGCACCGATATCAAGTACTGTACTAAGTACAAGTACAGATACTTTTCGAGCTCCAAGATTAGACTAGAGAAAAATTCAGAAGTTAGCAGGCAGCTGTCATTTGTAAGGAGCACACGGAGCTCCTGGGATTTGTACATCTCTGTTTTAATGTATGATTTGTTTTTTATGTATGTATGTATGTATGTATGTATGTATGTATGTATGTATGTATGTATATGGGATGCACAGATACCAGTTTTGCGAGTACAAGTACTGATGCGAGTACAAGTACTCACAGACACAAGTACTGATACATTTTTGTTTGTCATGTGACAGATTTTCTAAAACAATACAGACTAATGATTTCAGGACAGTGGTGGAACGCCAGAGCCCGGTCCCAGCTGCAACCACTGCAACTCTGGTGAAAATGCCACGTATCGGCACTGGTATCTGAAAAGTATTGGTGCATCCCTAGTTGGGAATAACGCCGGGTGCCGAAGGTGATGTACTCTTGTGCACGTGTGCAGGAGTTATGTCATCAGGTAGCCCAGTATATGAAGAGGGTAATGGGGGGGGAGCCAAGAGAAGCAACGGAGAAGATGGCGGTGGGTGGACAGCCACTAACAGCCTAAATCGGTCAGAAATGTCCACTTGTCAGGTACGTGTGCCATAATGTCACATGGCACAAAGTATAGTTGCCCATTATGGTAAAAATAAACTATATAAATGTATAACTAACTTTATTTCTGCTTTAAGACATTTCGTACTCTTAAGATGGAGCAAAATGCTTAGGGATGGTATCTGGTCTGTTTGCTTTGCATTTAGACACATTTTAATGTGCTCGCTCCCACTCTCTGTCACACATAAGCTGATTTTTCAAAGTGGCAGCACTTAGACTTTTCTCACAGCTACCACATCACATCAAAGCCTTAAACAATTTTCTGGCTAATTAATGATTGCCTTTAATTGACCTGTGTCTTTTGAGGGCTCTTCAGCGCAATCAGTTCTTGAATGTTCCTTCCAGTGTTCCTGTCCTCTGAGATCAGAGAAGGACAAGAATGCATTTTGGATGACATTCTGTACATTTTTGTTTTCTTTCTCAATAACAATCTCTTATCCTTTGGTCACTTCTCTGACCTTTTGTTCCATGGCCCCTTTTCTGAAGCTGTTTTTCCTCTCCATCTTTATCTTGTCCCTGTGTTTTTCAGCTGTGTCCGGAGAACGCTTACGAGGTGCTGTGCATCGCCGACCTGTATCTGCTTCCAGGACTGAAGCGGCTGTGCGGGAAAGTGTTGGCACAGATGCTGGACGAGGACAGCGTCATCGGGATATGGAAGACGGCAAAACTCTTTCAGCTGACACGCCTGGAAGATCAGTGTACGGAGTACATGGCCCGAATCATCGAGAAGGTAGGGAACCCAGGCAGAGATGATATATAGCTACAGACGGCTTGCCGAATCATAACCAGAAAGGCTCCAGCAACATAAAACGAAGATTTCATTTTTTGGGTAGATGCTTCTAAAGGAACTGGCTGTGTTGCCCTAGCAACCAGTCATCCTCTATATATTAGGATGCCCTTTGTGCACAGGGCTTGCTGTAGCTTGTATTTTTCTCGTCCATTGAGGGATGCAGGAATTCGTAAGCCTTTAGGTTATACTGCTGCCTTCAGGAGGATTGGACACTGGCGAACAAAAAAAATTGTAGGCCAGCCCAGGGTAAAACCCCTCCTACTACCAGCATGCTCAGTTTTTTTTTCTTGTGTCCTAGGAGGATGGACAACTTTTCATAGCTGTTCTGTTGTAAAGACAAGCTGTTTTCTCTTTAATCATGATTCATCACCTTCAATTGCATCTGGTTGTTTTATCCATCAACTCACAGGAGTTCTCAACCTGGCTATTGGTCTGTATCGTAACTGGACCTTGCTGGACTGGGCGATTGCAGGGTGAGCCTGGAAGTGATCCTCAGGCACTTGGCTCTGTGTGAGCCATTATCAGATTCAGTTCTGGTTAAGTAGGCTGTGACGATCATTTGCAGGTCCAGAGCTGCTGGCATTGCTCATTGCTTGCTCTGCCTCTGAAGACTCACTTTGTGAGTAAGCCCTTTTGGGCCATGAACCAAGAGCTCCCTCATTATTAATGGTTGCTGGACACTATTATTCCCTTTTTTCCTGCTGGCTTTCCCATGGCGGGGGTTAAACTGATGGGACAGAGTGTCAACATCATTTCTCTGGGTGGAGTGTCCTTGAGGTTTTAGGTGCACACATTGAGGAAGCATCTCCGTGTTGCTGCTCCTGCACAGAGCCAGGTGGAATTGCAATGGAGTTAGAAGTCCTTTCTTCCTGTCTTTTGAAAGATCCTCACTGATTGCTAGCCTGTCAACCTGGGAGATGAAGTCCTAGGCACTTTATCTGTGCAGATAACTTGGTTGCATGAGGAATCTCATCTTCCGATTTAACATTTTGGAGCTACCAGCGAAATGTCTGTTCCTTCTGCATTGGACCAGAAAGAGTTGGAAGGCCAGCAGATTCAGATGGCCTATAGCCTATTTATGTGGCAGTGGCCTGCATAAATTATCAAGGAAAAACAAGTAGTCTCGCTGTGACAAGAGAGGTAGAGTACATCCTGCTTTGGGTTCCAGCCATTTAATTTCCTGCCTTAGACACGAAGGCAGATTTCCTTGCTGAAGGTGTTCCAGAACTGTGTTGGCAGGTGGCTCCATGGGATCCATGCCTTCCCTCCCTTTTAAACCTCCTTATTGTCTGCTCCACAGTATCGGTATGATCCTCATTGCTATGGATTGGCCCAGGTGGATGTTGTATGCAAACCGGATATGACTTTGTGGGCTCTACCAGACTGTTTTGGATCTGCTGTCCCAAGGACCAACTAACTACCCTGCCTCACCGTTCCTGGCTTTTAACACGATTTATGGCTAGGAAGTCCACTTCCATCCCAAGAGATTCTGTGGCACTTTGGAAGCCCCTGTATTAAACCTTTTAAATACATTCCTCTCTACTCTGACCCAGAAGGATGTTTTCTTGTGGTCATCACTTAAGCTAAGCCCACAAGTTTGTTTTTCTTGTGGTCATCACCTCGACTAGATGAGTGTCTGTCTGAGCTGGCAGCTTTATCTCGCATGGACCCCTTTTTGGTCTTGCACACAGATTAGGTAGACTTGAGACCCAGGACTTCCTTTCTTCCCAAAGTACTATAGTTATGTCTACCTCAGCTATGACAGGTTTTTTTCTGTCCTGTTTCCCTCACCCTTCCAGGTAAAGCTTACTCCACTAGTGCAGGGATTACCTCCTGGGTTTTCGGCATCAGGCCTCTGTTGTCCAGATTTGTAAGACTGCCACCTTGTCTTCTGTTAACACATTCTACCAGGTAGATGTTTTTTGCCTCATCTGATGCCAGCTTTGGGCATAAGCTCCTTCAGGCAGCAATTTGAGCATCGGGCAGTCCTCCCTTACACTTGTTTTATGTCGGGCCTATTAATGGTTGTTTGCTGTGTTGCCCACCTCTCGGTTTGACTGCTTTTGGATGTCCTAAAAGTTTGACTTTGTATGTCCCTCAATGAGAAATAAAATAGGATTTTGTACTCAGTGTGTTTGAAGTCCATTGGGGGACACCGGTTCTACCCCTGTGTTTATGATTAAATTGTTGTGCTACCAAACTGAGGCACGCAGGTAGGAGGCGGAGTTATCCCCTGTGCTGTTCTACAGTTTTTTGTTTGCTATTCTCCAATCCCCCAGCAGGCAGCAATATGGCCAAAAGGTTTTAGACTCCCTGTGTCCCTCCAGTGGCCTCCATGAAAAGGATTTCACAGTGAGTACAAAAATTCAATTTTTCTTTTCTTTGCAGTTGGCTGATTCAGACGAGTTTTCGGCCGCAGTGCAAGAAGACGCAGCTGCAGTTGAGGAACGGCAAGAGACTGACTCCATCCCATTGATTGATGACATTCGCTTCCATATTACCAGCAACGTACAGACCTACAGCGCCATTGAAGAGGCGAACCAGCGACTAGAGGTGCTGGAGAACCTGCTGGGGAGTTTAGGGTTAGAGTGCTGAGCAAACAAGGGGCAAATGTTGTACTGATATGTTTATGTGGTTCAAGCTTGTCTGCCTTATTGATCACTCCAGATGTAGCGGCATGCTGGGATTTGGTGTGCCACGGCTACTTTAGGCTGGGCTGACTTATAATGAGGCCTGCTCTTTCTTTTCTCTTGTATAAATTTACCTTTTAAACAGCAACTCCAGACAATGGTTAATTACTCGAAGCACACACCTACAGAAGCATTGTAACCTGCCACAAGATCTTGTGACAGCCCCGGCTGTGCTATATGGCTGTTTACGTAAGGAGGGTCACATGCATCATAGGGTGCAGTTCTTCAGACTCTGCCCTGCCTCCTGCCTGCTTTTGTGTGCTAGAGACCTGTAGTGGCTCATATCAATAGCACTGACCTGTGTGTTGCTTAACCGCATCCTGGGCATATGCATTGCAATAGCTCAGAAGGAAAACGTTTGTCCAAATCTTTTCCTATGAAGGTTCCAGGGTTGGGAGTAAGCAGATCCGTTATGATCTGCAGCCAACAGATTTGGGGGTCTTTAAATAAGTATTTTTTATGTTTTGACTACTCAACTCTCACATCCTGAGCTCTTTTGCTTCTTGAGCGAGTGTCTTGTCTTCCCATTCATCTGCTTCCAGAGCAGCAATAAAGATTAAGCCTGATTTCAGCTGGTGGGGCGAAATAAAAATTCAGGCGATTTTTACAGTAGCAGCATTTAGGAGTTTTTCTATGTTTCCATTGATGTGTATAGGTCTGCAAAAGGTTTTTTTTTTTTTTGGTTAAATATTTTATTTTGATTTGTTTGGAGTTGTTCTTTGCTTATTCAGGCCACTTTTGTTTCCTGTTTTGTGCTATATGCTGATTTATAACAAAAATAAAATGTAGGAAAGGTGTCTGTTGCTAGATGCAACCAAATAATGTCCTTTTCCTATATTTATGGGACAACATGAAGGGAACCACACAAGAGTTCATACCTTGTTTTAGTCATAGGCTTTGTGTCTAATGTGTTGCATATGCTAGCACAGTGTGATTCTGCCTATAGGGGTTGCCGTAAAGTGAGTCTGCCCATGCTACACAGGTGAGGTGATGTCACTGGGAAGAAAGCTCAGTGTGTTCAGTCATAGCTTTGGAAACCAGTATGAGACTTTCAATACTGGCCACATTTGCAAGTGGTCAGCATGGACTTTATAACCCTTTCCAGGCAGAGTGTGGGATTGTACTATTACAGTACAGAACACCTTAGGCACTGTGCATTCTTGAAGTATGTGCCCTCATGTCTGTGAAGGTTCTTATTCATCCAGGTCATGATATATCTATAAAAAATAAATCAAGGCAACTGGACTTGCTGTTATTTTCTTAGAGACGTTTCGCTGGTCATCTGCCCAGCTTTCTCAATTCTACCAGTGCAATGTCTTGAAGAAAAATACAGCAAGTCGTCCAGTTGCCTTGATTTATTTTTTACAGATATGCACCCTCCTGACTGCTGCTTTTTAAGTTTGGTTGCAGCAGACATTTTGCTACTTCTTTTTTGTTTTTTAATAAATCAGTCTTGCGAAACCCTTAACTGTTCCCAGTTACCTATCAGCAGTTGCTAATTGGACATGGTCTTCAATAAGAATATTGTGACAAAATTGCTTTTTGACTTGAAAGAGTTGGTCCAACCCTCCAAATGATAGGAGGCCTGCTTTCAATATAGTTATACCTTTTTGAATGGTATTGTATCTCTGGTGTTGTGTGTAATGAGTTCCTTCTGCTCAAAAAGAGCGGATATGCAGCCTTCTGTCTTTGCAAAAGAAAAAAAAATCTTTTAAAGGCAAAAGTCCATCCAAAATTCAGATTTCAGTCTTTGAGGAGCACTAGTAGGTAAAATTTTCCCTGGCCTTCTTATCTCTTCTTGACTCTTAACAGTTGTCTCTAGGGATGTCCAGATACCGATACCAGGCATTTTCACAAGTACTTGTGAAAATGCCCCGATTCTTAAGCCAGATACCGGTAAATTTTTAAACCACAGCAGCTGCTGAGCACCTGCGCTTGTGGGGACCTCGGCAGCTTGCTGGTGACCTGCAAGTAGCTGTCCATGGTAGTGCCTGCCTGTTTCTTTATCTCCTCCTCCTTCCTGGCACAGCCATGGACAGCCCCATGGGCAGAACTACCGGCAGTGCAGCCGGAGTGACCACCCCTGTGTCCAAAGCTGGGGGATCCCGATGCCTACTGACAGTGGAGGACCAGGACTACCGTATTGGTAATTGGCATCGGCAAGTACCTGAGGGAAAGTACTTGGTCTTAAAATGGCATTGGGACATCCCTAGTTGTCCCCTCTGTAGGAATTTCTACCATGAGGCATCCTGGAGTCTCATTCCTCCTCTTCTAGTCTCTAACATATCAAATAAATGTAAACTTTTTGTATCCCCCCTAATAATGGCCATAGTTGGTTGGTGAATTTTTAAGGAAATTCAAGTCAAGAGTTCTTACTATTGGAGTCTTGGAGAGATAGAGGTAGACCTGTGCTTCTTGTTGTTGGCATCAAGTCTGTTCACTCAACATGATCTAAAAGTTGACTATGGGCAAGATAGAAAACTCAGGGCCATAGTAGCCGGCTGTGTGATCAGAGCCCAAACTAAACCCACCCAAAGCTACAGTTGGTCAGTACAGCAGCTGGGAAGTGGAGATGCTGTGTGCTCATCCAATGCATCCATCACTGGAGTTACTCCGGCCTATGGTACGGGCGACCTTGCTCACTGACTTAGCTTGCAATTTGCTCATCTTGACTTTGTCACTTGACTTCTATTTCATGGCCTTATAAATAGGTCACCGCTTCCTCCTCCTAACCACTTCCTAACAAGCTAGGCCGGCTGGTGACACAAGATATTTGGACATGTGGTTTGGTTATCCCAATAGAAAGAGCCTTACATGGTATGTTGCTTGTTCAAAGTGCAAGACATGAGAGTTCCTTCATGCTTGAGAACATATGCAGTGTGTGTAGATAGTATACATACAGAACATATATTAAATGTTATATATACCTCATCTGCTTTAATTACCTTTTGTTTACAGCTGACCTCTACTACTTTCACATCACTAAACTTGCCCACGATAAATCGCTTAGGGCTTGTTTACACCAGCAGCGTTGCCGAATTAAGTCCTAGCACAGGAACATGTCCTATGGCAGGGGTAGGCAACCTCGGCACTCCAGCTGCGGTGAAACTATGAATCCCATCATGCCTCTGCTTTTCGGAGTCATGCCTGTGGCTGTTATTCTTACAAAGCCTCATGGGACTTGCAGTTTCACAACAGTCTGAATGCGAAGGTCGCCTAGATGTGTCCTCTAGCTGTGCTGCATTAGTGTGCACTGAATGAAAAATAGGACATATTGCATTTTTTTGGGTGCAGCATGTTCTAATGCACTGTAGCTCTTTGCAGCGCATAGAATTACATACCGGTAATTATTTTGTTTTTAAGTAGGCACTGCAATGTGTTCTAGCAATGCACAGCAGCGTGTGTGCACACACAATATCGTGCACTGTTTGGCAGGATGAGAAGTAGTATGCGGTCTAGGTGTGGGGTAAGCTACACAGCAGCATTGTGCATTATAGCACGGTACTGCCATCGAGTGTGACTGATCATGGCTATGTGCATTTGGGTTGGCACCTGTCCCAGATTCACTTGGGCATTCTGGGTTTTGTTAGTCCTATATGTGCTGTTTCCGGGTTTCAGGCCAGCTGAAACCCAGACACAGCACATACAGGACTCAAAACCTGGACTGTCCAGGTGAATGCGGGACAGGTGGCATCCCTAATGTGCACGTTGTTACCCTAGAAGAAGCTGTGTGTTCTATTTGCTACATTTAATTTCAGGTGACCTTAGTGGCATCACTGAGCCAAATTGCCCAAATTAGTAATGTGCACTGCAACCAGGGTGATTCAGAGAAACATTTTATTTACATACAGGAAGCCTTTGGGTGTACAGATCACACTCCATGGCAACTTGTAAAACAAGAAATAGAGGGGGGGGGGGGTGAAAGGGGCAATGACAAATTTTGGGTTTTCTCACTATTTTCACGCATGTTGACAATGGCTACCAGGACAAATGGGGGAATCTCCCCACTGGAGACACAGACAGCAATAAAAACATAACCGGTGCCCTAACCTCTCTCCACTCCATTCAAAACAGCAAAAAAAATAGTTTTTACATGCATTTTAAAAAGTGACGATTGCACAGCTATGGCATGGCTGTGAGGATTTTTATTTAAAAATGAAATATTTGGTTTAAAAAGTATCTTTTTGGGAGATAACAGTACATCTGTACTTTGAAACAAGGTACCAAGTTAGAGCAGCGCGATCTATTAAATACAGCTGTAAAAGGACAGAGAGTGCCATTGTGTGTTAGATTCTCTTTCCTTCTCGCTGTCAGTCCTGAGCTCCAGTTCTCTGAAAACTGTGCTCCGGGCATGGCCGTACCAGCTTCCAGTGCGTGTGCTTTCCACTGCTATTGTAGCCAATGCTTCCATTCATAAAATAGTGACAAGAAGTCTATTGCAGTGTTTGCAGCAACTGTTCCTTTCATAAAGTAGGTGCAAGAAGACAGTCTTGTGTGCTGTGGGCACAGCTTTCGGAGAGAGGAAGGTCGGAAAAGGCCCGCATGGAGGAAAGTATAAATAACACATGATGTGTACCCCATGCTGTCCTTCCCATTTAAACCTCATGGAGTTTGCCTGTAAGGCTTTGAAAAGTAGGGACTGTATGGTCCCAGGTATTTTCTGCAAAATCCAGCACTGCCAGAGCCCCTCCAACTGCCCCAACACCATTGTGGCATTGGGAGCATCTTCCCCTGACACTTGGGAGTCTGAGTGCTCTATCACCAGCCCAGTGCACGCCACACAGAGGGTGGTGAGTAATGCCTGGGCATGGGAACTCCTCTGGCTGTACTAGTTTTATGTGAGCAAGAGCGGTACAATCCGACATCTCATAGTACCCGATTTGTATTGAAACATATTACATTAATAGCTGATACATATGGGCACCTGGTGCCATTCAAAG